AACTTCGCTTTTACAGATACCGTCAAACAATATTACAAAAAGTTTGTGTTGACGGTCTAGAACCAGGTAATTATGCTGGTTGCTAAACCTATTTCCTTAATCTATTTTATTTTGCTGTTACAGTCTGTCTAATTGAATAAGCATGTTCCAGAGCATGTATATCACGCTCCACGACTGATAGCCGACTTTGGAACACAGGTTCGCTGCGTTTGTAGCGAATATTAATCTTATATACTACTCTTTCCTTTTCAAATTCCAAATTATGTTCTTGTACGTTTCTTCATAATAACCTTGAATATCTCATTATGCGCTATTTCTACCTGTTGGTATCTATTCCGACAACGGTCTAACTCCTCATCCATATTGTTCGGTTGCCATACTCCCACTGATGGGGGGCTTCCCAGGCTGGTAACCAAAAGAGGTTTATTTAGGATAAAGACGAAACGAGCCGCCTTACTTTGTAAGGATTTTTCGTGAACTACATACGATTTTTGCCTTTAATAATAAAACTGATAATTGACAGCGAAAATATGTGGTAGATGGTTGTGAAATCTAATAAGTTAAGTATTATGACAGTTACTGTTAGGTGGAATTTTTCTTATGTTTATTATCAATCAAAAAACGATTCTTGGACACAAACCTTTTTCTCAACATTGTCTTCCTTGAATCTCAATGTTATGCGACGGCAATGAGTTTGCCGCCAACTCTCCTTGTTTATCGCCTGGATTCCCTGCTTCAGATGTGATTCGACATCATCCTTCAGTGGCTTTGTCGGTTTCACCGCTTGCCTAAAAAAGTAACCCTTGACATGACTTACCCTGGCTGAAGCTCCTTCAGCCAGGGTAAGCCATGTCAAGGATATATGGCTTCAGCTCCGCCTCCCCCGGCAAGCTAGTGGAACCGATCCCACTCAGGGTCTACACACAATCCAGCTCCATCTCCACTTTCTACTCCTACCTTCTTCCGTCCTGCTCAAAACTACATTGCGTCTCAAAAAGATAGAGTCACCCATACATTGTTTGAAATCGTGGTTCAGAGAGTCTCTGAAAAAGTGTTGAAGTGGTATGTGTCAAAGCGCAAATTTACATTTACACCAAATCTAGGTGAGGAAGTAAAAAAAATTGCGCTCGTTCATAGAAGAGTTCGCCTTCCAAAATCTTAAAACCACCTCATAATTCTTTGCTGTATTTCATTTTCGCTTGATAAAATTGGTTGATACTTATCAGTATTTCCTTCTTTCGTCACAATAGAGAATCGCTAATTTACTCGAAAAAAAATGAAAAATAGCGAATCGTTAATAAAAAAGGAGAACGCGTCAGGCAGTTATTTTTACTTATTTATTCACTAGGGCAGAAATGGTGTGGTGGCAGGAGTGCTGCTTAGTACGCGCACCGGGGGTGAAATTCTGGATTATACGTCTTCCAAGCCAATGAAGCCCTCTATCCAGTGAAAAATGAGGTGGCTGTATCATTTTGAGACACAGGGAAAGCGACATTTTCTAAAGAAATGGACACAAAGTCTTTCGACTCCCTACTTGTAATTTGGTGTGATTCTCAAATTCGCTCCCACACTTGACACGTTTTTTTACTTCAACAGTTTTTTTTCGGAAACTTTTTGAACTACGAGATCTTGAACATTTGAGATGTTCATTTCGGATGTCAACACTGCTATCAATAATGACACGGTTGTATCATTATTGAACGCGCGTATATAAGGAAGTCCAGCTTCATGGAGAAAGCGAGATGAGTAGGGTGCAGAGGAAAATGTAAATGGTGTTATAAACGTGAGGAGAAGTGAACGAGTTAGCTAAATTTCATGGAGACTTCCTCGTAATTCCTTGCAACCTAATTAAGTTTCACGGTTCCTTTCCAAAGCAATGAGTGTCGGTTCTATTCAATACAACCCCAGCCTAACCACAAGAGACGGAGATATGCCCCACGCCCTCCATCATTTGAGAAATCCCTGACATTTGCTCACCCTACTCAGCTTGTACTCATAGTCGTACCTGAGGCTCTGTCCTCTTTGCAGCGTTGAGGCGTGTCCAGTCAGGCGAAGCTCTTTGTTCATCTGCTACAAGGAAATTATGTGAGGACAAAACAAAAGAATTATATCAGAAATCTCTAACTATTCCTTTAACAGCAAAAAAGCTTCCGTCCGCTGATCCCTATCCACTTTTTCCCGATAATGGGACTTCCTTGAACTAAATTATGGAGAGCTTGTAGGAAATCCCGTCCCTTCTAGAGACATGCTCCACCCGCTGTAAGCGGCCCCGCTCACAGTGGGTGGACGCTGGGAACACCTTAGACATTGATGTGCTCACATCCTCATATTGGAGCAAGGTCATCAAACAGGAAAAAGTTTTACTCTTTGGAGCGGCTGCTTTCTGCATTGACATAGAAGAAGGTTTCCTAAACAAACCTATGGCCACTCAGACCTCCACTTTTGTGTCCGTGTTCTTATATGTCATAAATCCGAAAACAAGTGAGCGAAAGATCAAACCTTCAAGCCACATCGCGACACAAGACAAATATTTGTTCAAATAATAGCTCTGTAATTTGAATAGCGGCTCAATACGTATTGTATCTCAGATGGAGGCGCTAACGCTGAGCACTTTATAATTGTGGTGTTCAAAGGCAAAGAAGTGTAAATAGTCACTATAGCCTTTAAAACGATCACATTAGCAATTGCGGGGGATATTGGAGAGAGTAACTGTCCCCAAGATTTGCCATCAGCCTATGCAGACACTTGTGAAGTCCTAATTCTAACAAAGAATGGCTGAGCTCGCGCTAAATGAACTCAATCAACGTCTGAGTGCCGCTGCGAGCGAATGACGACCGGACGCGCTGCGAGCTGGGGCATTGGACGGTGCAATCAGCCACAATGGCTTCTCCCTTCTCAGATGGTTAACTGACCTGAGCACAGGCTATTTAGGAAACTGGGTGAATCAGTTCTAGTGCAGCGACCGTGGCGCTAGCAAGGTTAATGTTTCTGCCACATCGCCGTCAGTATCTCAGATTGCACTGCAGGTTTTGTTAAAACTATCATCAATCTATGGGAAAAATGGAAAGGTCTCATGAGAAAAATAGCTAATATGGGAGAAGTGCCTATTTCTCAAAGCAATTCTTCCTGGCATCAATCAGTTGATTCATTTATTTATAAACTAACCACCCGTATTAGAGAGATGACAGAGAACCCCATGGTATAAAACGCGCAGTGCAACACATCAGAGCCAATCCATAACAAAAATGTCTCAGGAGAGCAAGAAAAACTTCAATGAATTCCAAGTTCGAGGTCAAGTGCAGAGTTTAGAGACGAGGTCCTACCAAAGCCCTAGGCGTTGAAACTTTGCTGAGTGGATATTTACGACAAAGCAGTTCTGAACAGACATTGGCAAAGAAGAGAAAAACTGCAAAAAAGGCGTTCTCAGAATTCAGCGAATGCTGTGAATGTTCCCACACCTTCACGATAAGGTAAAGCGCACACATTACTCTTGTCTCACGCTGGAGCTTGCACACCACGATCCTCCCTAATTCTCTGAATTACATCGGTAATGCTAAGCTTATATGGTACAATTTTCGCTGTTTCTTTCTTTTCCTCGCTGCAATCTTAATTCTCATTTATTTATTTCTTCTTCCTCACTTTCCACTTCGTACTTGGCCCTTCTTTGAAACTCTCTGACTCTGCGCACTCTCTTTTCTTTGGCTCTGGAAATCCCTTGATTTGTGATGGATATTCTGTGAAAATCGCTTTGCAAGGTATGGATGCTCTTAGGAATCCATGGACTAAAATAGTGAGCAAGGAAAAATAGAAAAAATGCAAAAAGCATTTAAGCTTTGCGAATGACAAGACCACAATATGTTTGGGTTGAAAATACATCCTCATAATTTCCTCTGCATCCTGCATAGATGAATTCCTGATTAGCCATAAGGAACATCGCTGTGATAGAAGGAGCCTCAACAGGCAAGTACGCTGACAGTATTCCTTCATATGTGTGGGAGCGAGTTTCCCACTCTTCGTCTCCTGCTTTCTTCATTAAGTGCTCAGTGTTTCTTAGCCGTAGAATCATCATTTGCCCAGGGATAGAGACTTTCATTTTCGATGTTTCCTGGTTTCTTCCCTCCTTTTCATCGCTGACGGACTACTTCGCACATCTACCTTCATTTTCCATTGCTATTACCGCACCATTCAATCGTGAAATGTATTTCTGACTTTGCTTTTTTATCACTGTCAACAAACTACTTATCGTGTACTGTACCACTATAGCATTGATCGTATTGGCAAAAGATTACCAGTCTTGCTACCGGTCGCGTAGATCCTTGACTGTTCTTAGCCTTGACGACCAAATAGGTGTGGACGTGGTGTTCAGCGAGGTACTTGGATCGTTCTTCTCCATGGCCTTCTTCGACAACATACTCATCGTTCAACGAGTCCAAGGTGGCCTGAGTAATATGAACACGCCTGAAAGCCAAGGGTATTTCAGACGAGTCGATTAAAGCATAAAAAAAGATGAAGCATTTGCCGTTGATCTGTCCCTTTTTGGGATGCGGCACGCATTCTACTTCCGTTCGTACATTCGTAGTGACGTTTGAATGCGATGTGGCCTACACAATGACTTGCGGGGGCCAGCCGATGTATAAGTCAGTGTATTTTATCCTCCCAGACAAGCCTGGTACCAATTAACCGACCCCGGAGAGATGGAAGGCTTGGTTGGCCTAGGCGACTCACGACCCAGGATTTGATTCCCGGACCGCTCGCGTGGTGAGCGTGCCACTTGCCACTTCCGCCCATTGGATGTATTGGGTACATTGGACTCTAATGGACGAGTCGATTAGAGTCCAATATATCCAATACATCCAATATATTGAAATTGATAAGGTCGCAAAAGTGCAAACGGGATAATGCTCACGACGGCACACGACAAAAAAACGATATTTAGGCAATGGCTCCCCCTTGTAAAAACCACGCCCACTCACAAGTCTAATCTGAGATCAAAAAATATCCTTAAGAATGGATATTTATTATAATAATGTGAAAATAGTCAGATCAAGGAGGCTTTCGACGAGGTCATTTACTGAAGAGCTCACCCGGGCAGACCTCCACTTTCCATGTGATTTGCCAAAGTGACGTCATCGCTCCACACGTCGAACTGCCATTTCTTTAGTCCCAACACACCGCAATGAGCTCGACCAGAATGGATACCGACTCGCATATTCACATTGACTCGTGTCATATCTCGTACCAGCCTGAAACTGACACATTTTCAGGAACAGTTGCCTTCTTCCCAAATGAAATCACCAAAGAGGTAGACTTGAAAGGTGCTTTCAACATCAACAGTAAGGATGTCTTGAAGAGTTTCCAGCATGTGAACAGACACATTGCGTCTAATCACGTACATGTTATGTTGTTCTAAGAGATAATTCAAGAATGTGCCCTTGAAGCAAAAGTGACTTATGCAAAAGGAAAGCTGCCCAGTGTTTCTTTTCCAAGCTTTTGCTAAGCGTTAGAATATCATGGCATCGAATAAGAAGGGAAGGGAAATTTTCGAAGCGAAGTGTTTGATCCATTCCACAATATGAGAATAGTGCAACTTTGGTGTTTTGTTACCTCACGTAACTTTAAGCGAGTCAAGTGGAAAATAATCTCAATGAATATTATTAAGCGTCAAGCAACAAAGAAAAATACGCACTTGATGGTCTCGATCATGTCAAGCCCCATTTCGACCGTGCACGCGGCGTGGTGATGGTTGACATCCGGCAGACCGCTGACGCAGTAGTAACAGTCGCCCAAGATCTGAAAGCAAGGAACTATAGGAGGCATTGCGGATAAGTGTCATTAGGTCCGGTTTTCCCGTTTGGATTCCACCCTGTGATCACAATTACGCGGAACGAGTCACACTTGCGCAAGTAATGGTTGGATTTACTGCGTGTACAGTACATACACAGTAGAGTGATTCACTGGATTGGACATTTTACTGCAAGCGTTGTCGGCTTTGCAGCGGTGCACGGATGCGGGAACATTGACTTGTCACCTGTAAGTCAGAAATGGGCCTGTTCAAGAATCAGTTTAGTTTCAGCCTTTTTTATGCGTATATATATATATATATATAAATAATATTTACAGAGATATATTCCGTACCCCCCCCCCCCGACACCAGGCTTGCTTAAGCTGTTTTAACTTTCGCTATCGCAGGATACAGGGGCATTGTGGTGACAAGGCATTTTCAAACGTTGCAAAACATCTCATTTTGCTGCAATCTAGAAATAAACCAAAAAAAAACTAGGACTAGAGCCCTAGAAAGGTGAAGAGAGACTTAGGGATGAGCGAACAATTTTTTTCTCTGAAGATGCCCCTTGGGCTTAGTCTCAAAGGAGGCCCCGTTTAGTGCAATAGTGCCTTCCAGGTTTAAAAGTATCAATAATCAAGTAACGATGTAAATGAGTAACAGACGTGTGCATAAAACAAATGAATAGACGAAGAAGGCTACCTTCGTTTTCTATGCGCCAAAAAGTGAATATAAATAAGTGAGCAGAACAGAGAAAGACAGAATAGGTAAGCAAAGAGACAAATGAACGAAATCAAATTTCTTTATTTTTTTTGTGCGAATTTTGCCCCAACATCACCATTCGATGCTTGTCATTGCCTCGGAGCAACCCAAGAAGTAACGAGAAAAGGCTGAAATACCTACCTTGATCCTCATGCAGTTGTGCTGAGCGGCTAGAGCATCGAATCGTGCGAAAAGCTCGTTAAGCATTAACACCAACTCTTCTGCTGTGTATTCCGATGCGAGAGTGGTAAAGCCACAAATATCGGCGAATAGAATGCTGAAATATACGAACCAAATATAATTAGTACAAGAAGTATAATACACTGTTCTGCAAAACTTAAGCACGAGTTTGATAAAGTGAGTGATGTGACTTATTGGCAACTCTGTGGACCTTACAACTGTCCCTTTAATTGCTTTCGGAACTGTGGTGTAGTGATTCTTTCTACGCATAGTTGATTTCCATCGAGCTGTGTTACTTGGCAGCACACATCACGGAAAAGTTGCGTCCGCCATTAAGTTTTGCACACCAGCGTAGAACAGCATTGATCTGTTAGGCATGAATATTATGATGCGCGGAGGTGATGTAACATCGAGGGACGCCCTCTCCCACGCACATTGTTCGGGGATCAAATCCCGAACTGAATTCCGTCCGGGATATACTAAATAGATTTCTAAACTCTTTGTAGAACTGACAGGATGCAGCAACATTTGAGCCCACTTTGGATGAGCGGGACTGGAACGGATAAGACGCAAACCCGTCTGGTGGGTAGTGTTGCATGGGATAAGATCCAGTCTTTAACTTCTGGATGAGAAACTTGTTCAGAAATTTGTAGACGCTAGACGCCCTGGACCAAGCCGGCTTCAGGCAAAATCTCGCCGTCAGTACGGCTCCCAACTAGGGTCGACCATCCGTTGGTGCAAGTATGAATCGTATTTGGCCCTTGGGGAGGGGTAGGATCATAAGAGCCGTGAACAATGGAAATAGGGACTTAAATGCATCATCAAACCAGAAACATGGCGCAGGTGTGGCGCACGGCATGGCACGTGCAAGGCTCGCTTCGAAATCGGGTTCATGGCACCAAAACGCTTCATAATTAAATGGATGATGGATTGACTTCCCAGAAAGAGAAAAAGAAAGTTTACATGAGAAACATTTTAGTGGGGAGGATTCCCACGACTGTTTGGGAGGACACGCTTGCATTTTTCTGAGAGACTTATATTTTTTTACACAGAATCGGTTTTGAAAGCATAATATTTTTTACACAGAATCGGTTTTGAAAGTATACGATCGTTGTAACCTCAGAAACTTGCGGTTCCACCCAAACTCATTGAACAAATCACTTCTTCTTCTCTGAACAAATCACAACTACGACCTAATCGGTAAGAACGCTCAACGCATGGTTGACTTTACCGAGGCTCCGTATGAGGCCAACACACGGTCCGCTTAAATGGCATGGAAAAACTACTGAGCCATAGCCTCAACTAACCTGATGTTCTCATGCTTTCGTATGTAAATTTTGTGGAACATCTGTTCTTTTTCGTGCCCTTGCATGTCGTCTTTCACCTGAATTCAGTTACACTTCGTTTTCATGCGCTCGTCAACGAACGCCATTCCAGCACATAGGTATTTTTCGTAACATTTTGTTATTCTAAGGCAGAAAACCTCATAGGCTATGTGTTTCGGCGCACGTGAGCAGAATCTTCTCCTGTTTGTCCAGTTCCCTAACGAGCATCATCCTCGTTTCCACGCATTTTCTGTAAAGCTCAGTCGATGAACCGGTGTTTGCAATTGGCGTCAGTTAGATGGAATAGCGTACCTCGTCTCTCGAAACGTCTTCCGTTGCACCAGTTCTAATGGATAAAACACGAAAAAACCGACAATGTTTATAGCAAAGAAAAGAATCGCATGTGTTACAAGCTGGAAAGGGGGACGTGGTTGGTTGAACTTTTCAAATCTCTCTTTGGACCCGTGGAAATCCAATATAACCCTTACCATGATTCCATCGGCATTGTTTATAAGCTGAATAGCGAGACCCGTTGCGGAGACGACAGCAGCTGCCGATGCCTGAAGCAGGGAGGAAAACCTCAATTTTGATTCATCTATGAGTTTTCACATATAAACCAAGAAACCGATGGAAGAGACCCACCGTAGGAATCAAAGGCAGAGGTAGCAGCGTATAGCATAGAAATAGTATTAGCACTGTCAGTGATGAGTGCACTATGTAAGGAGCGCATGCGAGCAGCACCTGCAAAGCTCTGCTTAGCCACTGGCGGTCTTCAGTTTGGAAAATCATTTTCTATTTTTAAATACATTTCCATTTATTGTACTATTTGTAATTATGCTTGAAACATGCAATCAACAACCAGTTTTTATCGGTTGACGTCCGGGTGATGGCTTTGCTTAATCCACACGCCTGCCGTTCAGTTAAACGAAACAGCACCAAACAAAAGCTATCCTGGTGAACTTCCCATAAACTTTTTTTTCTTCCCACCGCAATCAATCAAAAAATAATGTCTCGAGCTCCCGTTGCTCCGCCTCTTTCAGCTGCTCTTTTACTTTCTGAAATGTCATATTGTCCATCCGACGGTAGCTAAACCACCTGCCTCTACCAATTTCACGTGTGTGTTTCTTCCTTGAGTGCGCCTTTTTTCCGTGACTTTTTTCTTTCTATCTTTCCATTTGTTTGCTTACTTCACATTTTTATTTTGTGCGTCTGCCCACGTGCTGACTGTGTGCCTACTCTACACTGGTGTATAAATTAAGGACGAAAGGATTTTGCATGACATGCACTGCTGAATAACATAGCTTGATGAAATGCGTAACACGCATAAAAGCTGCGGTGCCATCATTCAACGCTTTTCTGCGTGCCTCCGTTCCGTTGCCTTCTGGTAGGACCACTTCCTCTTCTTTATGTAGCAGCGGATGTGGTCTGTGAAGCCTCTATAAACGTGAATAGGGCAGCTAGCAACTCAAGTACTTGCGCTGTACCCGCAGTATTTTGTCCTTTTTCCAGATTCCCAATAGTTCTTCCTTGAGTGAGATTATACCATTTTTTTTCTATGGGCGAAGTTGGTAAGAAAAATACCGCCCGAGCACGGCAACTGCTAGCTGATTGACACGATTCGTTCCTTTCCCCGTCTTGCGAGGTCTTTTTTATTTTATGCCATACCCAGGCAGATCTGGAACCGATTAACGTTCACATTTCTGTATCTGACATTCGACAAGTGCTTCCACACTTTATAAATTCCATTCGATTGTTAATAGGTTTTATGTTATTTAATTCGCCCTTTGAGTTTGACCAGCAGTACTTGTGCTTCTCTATCTGGGTCTGACTGGCGGTTTATCAGTCAGTCTCAAATTTTCTCTGCCTGCCTGCCTTTATTTTTCTTCTGACTATATGACTGCATTTAAGTTACTTCTACCTTTGTGTCACTATCACCTCAACTCCATTTATGCTACCCTTGCGGCTCTATATTTTGTCTCAAAAACTATCATCTACAAAATTACCAATAACTTCTCTCTTGGTATGCGTGTCTGCCTGTTTTTAACATCTGGATGGGCTTGCCACATCTACCCGTTCTGCTGACACTCCTCTGACCAGGAGAGTCCTTCAGGAAATGAAGCGTTTTCTTCAAAACGGTTCGTTGCATGCAATAGAGGCACATGCATGGAACATGAAAATGATGATCATTTTTTCTAAGCGGTCGTGGGATTGCCAAAGAAAGGGTAGAAAATTTTCCTCGAGAAGTGAAACCTTTCCATTATTGATGAACTGTACAGCATTTAAGCGTTGAACAGCCGCATTTTGTAAGATTTTTGTGCACTGAATAAGTTTAGACATACACGCCCAAGAAAGTGGGAATCAGATGAATGCGATAATTCGTCTGCAGTGGCGAACGAACCACAGGCCTTCGTTTCGACATGATTTTCCATTCCCAGAGCCGCTCAGATAAAATTATTTTCGGTTCTATGCTCCCTGCGTGCGTCTCTATAAAATAGAAAAAAACTGTTTCGAAACAACGCTTCATGTGGTGAAAGACTTTCCTCTTACGATCCAGTAATCTTCCGATAAGCTATTCTCTTGAACAGATCGAACCTTGGCCCACATACCTTTGGCTCATTCTCCAATTCTGTGGTTTTCTACCTCTGATTTCTCTAGCCAAAATCACCCTAATGACACCCACCCACTCTCTTGCTCGCAGACTGAGGTCTGCATGAGCACGCTATCGCACCAGTGTAATTCTGATAAACGCCCTGATCTCATAAGAAGGTAGTTTACGTTCCTGAAAAGTAGGTAAATTTACTCACCACTGAACACAGGATGACCACGGATGAGAGCACTATAGAGTTGCCTTTGTGGAATATTACCCAGCCAAGAATGAAGACCTTAAAATCGAGTTGTGAACTTTGGGTTAGCAACAGCGTGAAAAAAAACGATGAATTCTCCCAGTAAGTAGGACAAGATTCTCCGAAGTCCCCACTGTCTTCGCAGAACGTGAAGGATGATAAGGAAGATGTAGTTTGATGACCAGCTTTCGTATGTGATGGATTACCTAGCATTTCACTAACCATCACTGCTTCGTAAGCAGTGAGGACAATAGGCTGCAGGACTGATCCGACTCTGTAATACTTACGTCAACTACGGCCAGAAACATAAGGAGGATCCATTCCTGGAGCAATACCGTCAGTACCGTCTGCGCAACGCAAAGGGCAAAAAGGAATAGCAAAGCGAACTGAAACAGGAACTTTCAAGTTCGAATTACCAACGACACGCAAATCAGAAATCGATGGAGACATTTAGAAATTTTTAGATGAACGTCAGCAGCGCTAGCCCGGCTGAAATTTTTGGATATTCTATTTGGATTCTCATCTGGTTATGGTTTAAATCAGTAACAGCCACCTCTCAGAATTTCCGAATTAGGATGGAGATGAGTCCTATTTGTGACCTTTAGGAGCAAGTTTCGGAAAAATTCTCGAAGAGAAAATAAGCTGAGTACTATTTCGTTTTTGCACAGGAACACCAGATCTCAATTTTAGAGCACATATATTCCCCTTTCAGATCTCGGAGGAAAACCGCTTTGGCGCACTCCACAATAGTATGGTTCCTTTTCGCGTTCTATGACGGCTTTTCAATAATGCTGCGTGAGACCGTTTCATTGTTGCAAATGTTCTTCTTGAGATGATGGTGTAATAAAAACTTCGGTAGGAATCTGAGAAAGGCCAAGTTGCTCCAGAAAGAACGAGCTGCTGTTGATCATCAACAAGGGGGATTTTACCATTACTTAGTTCACGAAAAACATCCACAGAAAGCTGTTCCGAAGAGAAGAGCTCCGAACGTTGTTCTTTGCTATAAGACCAGAAAAAAAGCCGCGTCATGAGAGGAAATTAGGTCCTGCTAAGACGCGCTTGAGAAGCACCAATTTTTAAGGAAATCGAAACTTTTTTTAGAAATTGATGCCTCAGCGAATCATGTCCAGCATGATTGAACGAGCACAAAGTTCACTCTCGAGCAAAATGCGACAAGCAAGAAATATTGAGGAAGACCAAGTTTTGCTATAGATGCAGCAGCCAAGCCAAGCAAGGTTCTCCAGAGCTTTCTCTTCGTAGAACACAACCGTGAAAAAAGGCATAAATGTGAGCGAAGGAGAACACTGAAACGTTGCAAACTGAAAAGGACTATGATCCTGTTGGTTTGGCTACCCCTTCTTGCAAAGCTTAAGTTGTGTTCTCCCCAGAATTTTCTACCATGAATACATTTCCTCACACATTTAACGCTCAGGGATAAACTTGGGATTCTCTAGATTATAGCAAACAATAATTTGTTGAGACATCAACTTTCAAGGAAGATTTGATTTTTGAGCATAGCCTGATAGAACTAAATTTTCCCTTTATGAGGAGGCCAAAAGTCAAGAACGACCTCCGGGGCTATACACAGTTGTTCATAATGTAGGTTTATGTAGAAACGTTCTCCACGACTACTCGCCAAATCATCGTACTGGCAACTGCCCTTTTTTCGAGTCCTACCGCAGTTTTTACTACACCTTCACAGAACAGTGGCGACAATGAAAAAGTTTTGTGAAGAGTAAGTGAAAAGCCATAAGAGCATGAAGTGAAATCAAATCTCGAGGAATGCACCAAGTTGCTTTTTCCAATGAAAAACGTACCTATGTACTATGTCTTGAATCATGCACAGGAGTTCCTCTGCATCATATAGCGTTACATATTTAGCACATTTCCTCTTCAGAGTCTCTTTGAAATACTTACAATTCGAGCTTCTGGTACTTATTAGTAAAATTTTTATACGGACTAGTGCATGTTATTGAAAAAATGGAGAGAGGAATCTTGGAGGTACTATCATAGACAAGACTACTACACATCATAGCCAAGGAAGGGCTGTTATATGGAAATTTCCTCAAGAGGAGGGGAGCGGGGGCTGCCGTACTGATCCCAAAACTCTAAAATGTTACCCAACAAATGCCTGACTTTGGCAACAACGAAGAACTCACCTGCATTCGACCAGCGTTGATATGCTCAAAGTAGATCGGATAAAGGGAATCTTGTCGACAGGCCTCAAGCAATAGCGATTCGTCATCGGCCATTTCATCAAGGGCGTCTAGAACTTCCTGGCTGAAAGAATTCGGAAATGGACTAGCCGCCGTTGTTTCACATCATCCTTAATCGAAGTAAGTAACAGTAATTTGTGGAGTGTTTCGACTTCGTGAGCACCGCCGCTTCAGCCGATATCCGTGAATCTTGTCCTGTGAACATGAATTTCGCAAAAAGGTTCAGCAGTGTTCATTTCGTGGAGGTGATCTAGGGACATAGTAGAGAAATTCTCATCAAAACAACGTGCAAATTAATGAAAAGGCAGCACTTTTTTGTTCACCTTGGTCGCAGTGAAAGCAAAACATCATCAGCCCGAATGTTTCAATCAGAACACCTCTCTTGCCGTCCATAGAGTCACTTCACTCTTTTCATCCGCATGTTTATGGCATTAAAAAAATAAGAGGAAGTATCCAAACAACGATTGCATGCGATTCAAAGCTTCGTAAAAATGACATTAGCTTTCGCAGAACCTTGTCGTTGGTAATTACGCATTAGTTCCTAAATGATTCATAGTTATAAGAAATACCCAAAAAACCCCTACTCTCCCCCAATGCCTCGCCGGATCCTCTGCGTGTTACGATTTTCAGGTTGGCCCCACCGCCCCTCGTAAAAGGTGGTCTCGCCATGTTGCAACAGGTTTATCTTTTTCAACGCTCGTTCAGCCGCCAACAAAATTCTCGAACCTAACTATCCGCATGTTGTTAGGTTATGCGATAAGTAATGTGTTTTCTTTCAGGAAATTTAACCTCCAAGTGCATGTTACTGCATAATGTTACCAGAGCCTAAATTAAATCTTTTTGGGATGCGGCACGCAATCTACTTCCGTTCGTACTTTCGCACTGACGTCTGAATGCGATGTGGCCTATACAATGACTTGCGGGGCTCGCCGATGTTCAAGTCAAAGTTTTTATCCTCCCAGACAAGTCTGGTACCAATTAACCGACCCCGGAGGGATGGAGGGCTTGGTTGGCCGGGGCAACTCACGACCTAGGCTTTGATCCCCGGACTGCTCGCGTGGTAAGCGTGCCACTTGCCACTACACCATTTCCGCCCTAATCGTCTGAGCAATGTTATCCAACAAAAAACCTTTTACTTTTTCTCTATGTTCATTGCATTGCCAAACTTGCGACGAAGGAGGTCAGTCGACGAAAATTAGTCTAACCAGCATCTAGCTTTACTCTGTTTTCTACTTGGAGGAATCGATCAGTGATGTACCATTCACTTCTTGGCCACGATTTCCTCTAAAAAATCCGCTACTAAGTTGTTAAATTAGTCGTGTCGCCTTTTTTCAAATATGGTTATTGGTCCAGAATTCAATGGTTGGTTGCTACCTCGTCGAAAACAGACCTAAAATTTCTACTGTTCAGACGTCCAAAAACAAAAACGGAATATCTGGGAGAAGTTGTGACTAAGTCTGAAAAGCATGAGTGATTGATCTCATTATTCTTTTAGAAGAAATTTTTGGAGTACTTTGATCATTTCCTTAGAGTGGACTCGTCAAGACGTCGGCCTCGAATTGGACCTACGTTATCATGAAAGAAAATTCTGAAGATGTGAGCAAATAGAGCAGCAAAAAAGACTCACAAAATATATATCACCCCGTATAAAATGATGTTGTTTTAGAGTAAAATTTAAGTTCGTAAACCCATAACGGTCGGCCAGTGTATTTGTTGGGCGCGCCACATGGTGGCGCACGCCGCCACACAAGGTAGGGTTTATGTAAGCTTATGCGAACACCAGGGTTAAGGCCGGGCTTAAGGTAGGTGTCATTGTCTCATCACCCAAAAGAAGAGATTTCCATTGACGACAACCTCGTAACCCGCCTTTCCGCTTCGAAACTAGGGTGCAAAGAATGAGTGGGAGCTGCAGGTGATATCAAGGTGAAATGCGGAACAACAACTCCGAGCAAGAATGTGGATATATTTAGGGGAAGGGGAGTGAACCATCCGTAAGTCACTCATCAAATAGTAAGCTTATAAAAATTAAGGAAGTCTATGTAAAATTTATTGGAGGTTTGTCAAAAATCCACTCGTCCAGGTCCTGGTAAGATATGTTATTCCACATTGCTGAGAGTCTATACGGGTATATAAAGATTGCTGGAAACGTGACAAAAACAAAAGAAATAATCGTGCGCCACCATGTGGCGCACGCCGTCCGTAATGGGTTAAACAATGCTACTTTGAGGTTGACCAGAAATTCCGAATTAGAAAAAATACGGATAGGCGTTTTTATAATCTAATAGCGTCTCTGCAATCAGAGCTTTCACCTGCCAACCAACCTAACTTCCCCTTCAAAAAAAGTGTGTCGGCTGCGGACCAAACACCACAACTGACGATGGCCTCCAAGTAAATCTGGTTAGATGTTGCGCATAGTGATAGCTTGTGAATGATAGTTGTAATTAGTGACAATCGATGAAATAGAACTGCGACAGTCTAATCATTTCATTGGCAGAAAACATGAACATTTTGTGAAGGCCCTCGTCACTTGTGGTGGTCTGCACCCGACATTTTCTCGCATCTTGAAGGGGAGGGTATGTATGTCCCACTGTTCTTAACTGAGAGTGCATAAAGGAGGCTCACTAGGCAGCAGGCAGGAATGCGCGACTTTGCTAAGAAATTACATATCGCGCATACATGCGTAAATTTACTGCAGGAGCGCATTGGGACCTACTACCCACTCCTTTGTTTGCTGCACTGTCTTGCGATAGTCCGCGAACATTGCGATAGGGCTTGTTCAATGAACGCCCAACTCAAGCACTCAATTGTGCTCACAAATTTGTACATATAAGCAATTTTTTGAATATAAATAGGTAACTATTTCTTCCTCGCGTATATATTTTACCGACCGATTTTCTCCGTGTGCACTCGGCCCCATGCGAATTTCCACCTTTTAGCTCTTTGATCGACAACTTCAGATTTCTATCTCGCTTTCCTGACACAGAAATAGAAGGAGCGTCATGTCCAGTGATGGACAACTGCGCATGTGGTCTGCCATCATGTATGTAGCAAGGCTGCTGTGCCATTTGTATCTATAGTATATTGATTAGCTACACCCTTATTTTACACTCAGTTTATTTATTTGTTTATGTATAATGCACACAAGGTAAGCCATCGATAAACATAACAGTGTTAGTATAACACACAACAGCAAATGACACCGTATAGGTACATTTGTATCAAAAGCCGTATTATGAACCACTTCATGCCTTGTACCATATGCCAATGGACATGCATAGATTATTGCGGTTAGCAAGAATAGATACTTCCTCGGTGCCCACTGTGTTTATCCGCTCGCTGTATCTGATCGCCGCCTCACTCTTCATGCTGTAATCAATGCACTGCCCACTAGTAGACAGCCTTCATAACTGCCCACGACCACCTCCTGGGATCCATGTTTAGGACGAAGAAGTGCTTTTTGCTTCCACCCCTGTCATACTGCGGCCTTCAAGAGCTAAGTGTAACGTGCCCCTTATCCTCGTCCTGCAGTCTCAGCAGCTACTGTGCGGTGTCATCCATGGAGCTGGCGTATAATAGCTAGCGTATATAGACATTGCCCCTCAACTTCAGCCAGCCCAGCTCCTTCAATGGAATTCTTTCAACTGTGTTGATATTTGAGTAAGTCAACCGATGGTGTCTTTAACTGGGAAACTATCTTATTGCTCTCTGATTGACCAATGAATAAATAAATAAGTAAATATGTCCCAAAGATATGCAAGGATTATATTGCACCAAGGTCTAAGAGGAAAAAGAACATTAGTTGCATGACGATGACGAAGCACCCTTTACAAAGCTCAAACTTGCAGAAATCCCCCTCATGGCTGAAGCGCCATGAAAGCTCACTATAGCGTCACAATATTGCAAATTATGAGCGAAGCGAACCGCCTAGGAGGTCTCGCTAACTTGGAAAACACTTAGGAATCCCTTACGACCAATTTTGATGTTTACTGGAAGCGCGGCTCTAATATTTCAGCCACAGATGGCCACATTCTCGATAGCTTTGCAGCAACACTCAAAAGCATTCTCTGAGCGGTTTCTTTCATGTATTCCGCTTCAAAAAATAAATTAAGATTAAATAGCAACTCCTGAATCGTTTTTGATTGTGAATACTGCAGCCGCACTTAGCCATGCGGAATTTGATGAGAAATAATGTGTCTTGTATGTTTAATATCACTGAATTGAGGATTCAGAAAAAAACGTAAAAAGCGTAACTTATCAAAATCTGAAGAGAATCGTTCAAGAAAGGAACGAAAGCTCAAAACCATTTGAGGAATCCCCGATATGGCTCATCCAAAAAGAATTGACTAACACTGACAAAATTATTGCGTTTTGAATATGCCGTAGTCGTAGTATTTCGTTAATGATGAAAAAAAAAACAATTACTGAAACCGACCTGAATTTGTCGCGATTCCAGTCACCACGGAGCGGCTCGAGCGCGTCCGCGCGTCCCATTTCGAGGCTCTGAAAAATCCACATGGACTTCGATATCTTCATGAATTCACGTACGTACAGCCCGTTTTCCCCGTAGCGAAGCTTACGAGGGGTGGTTTCAGGGTAATAAGATTTTCATCAATCCCTGCTGGAAGAAACTGCCCTGGCAAACATCTGTTTCTGAGCAGCAAAAGAGCGCCTCGCCCATACGAAAATAGCCGGAAAATCGATTCGGCATAACCGTTTTTACAACTGATTTTTAGGAACAACCCAAGTTTTAGATTATTCTTGATCGATGTTGATGTAGCAAGGCGGAGCAGCAACCCTGATTGGAAAGATTATACAGATAGCAAGAAGTTGTCGAAGCTAAGCATATTTTATTCAGTGCACAGCTCGAGCGGGCAATTATATGGAGTGTGGTAATACTGTGATTCATTAAGTTTCCAAAAAACTACCAATATTAAGGAGTTTTGAATATTTGAGTCGAATTACTATGCAATAAAGAATCAATGTATTATTAGCAGCTCTTCTACTAGTACGTTAATTAATGTACTACTAATGTTACGGATGTACTAAACACCTATATACACTCACAAGGGAAGGTTATGGTACTGAGACTGGACCTAATTTGAAAAAAAAGCTATTGATCTTTTGACAGTGAGGGCAACGCTTCCGCCATGAAAATAATTCAGAACGTATCATAATATATTATCTATAGGGGGGGGGCGGAAGTGGTGTAGCGACAAGTGGCGCTGCTCTACCATGCGTAGGGTCTCGTGATCAAATCTTAAATCACACACAATCTGTCCCAACCAAGTCCTCCATCCTCCAGTCGATTAATTAGTGCCAGACTCGGTAAGAGGCGTTGAATTATACATCGACTAGCTCTTCAAGTCATCATATAGGCCGAATCGCTTTAATCGAAGTGCCGCAATCGACCTTTTTAGATCTTGGCATGGCTTCATCAGTTATGAACAGTTAGTTGTTGTCTTGAAAGATTGAAAACCGCATTTTCCTCAAGTTTCGGTTTCTCCGCCTTCGTCAAGGATTTAGACGGACACAACTAGCTATTTACGTACTGGTGCCATTGTTAATTTTGATGAAAATAGAGTGCATAGCGCATCCCAAAAAGTGACCAACGCCGAATACTTTATGCATTGAGCTTTTTCTCCATCTTCGGATTTTGCTGGTAACTTATCTCGATACGATTCACTTTATGCAACCATCTATATAATATTCGTGCTTACATATGGCGCCACCTCAACGTACTCGAACAATATAAAGCACAAGATTACGATATACATTGCCACGTTCCATTGTTTTGATCGCACTTTGCCTCCTCATTCTCTTTGGGCTTCGTATTATGTGTCGCCAAGCACGCGAAGACCCTTGTGACGTCGGCTTGCGGCCGTGTACCTCCTTACCCAAACCCAGGGAGTCCATAGCCATTTGCTGTGGACGGTATAACTTTTGGAAACATGTTCTTTAGCACCGCTCACATACGTCAACTGTTTCACAAAGCACTTTCCCAGGAAGTAAGCAAACCAGCCCGTTTGGCGTTTCCGCTGGGGCCGTATGCTGAATGCTGGGAAGGAGATGGGCCTCTACAGCTGACGGAATTATTCAACTCGGTCCCTAAAACCGCCTCAAATTGATGCTTACCGCAGGATTAAACATGAAGAGAGGACGGACCTGCGAGAGAGCACAGGTCCATCCTTTCTTTAAGATTCATTGTCAGTCTTGAGGTAAGCAAACCAGCCCTTTTGGCGGAGCTGCTGGACTTAGCTGCACCACTTCGTCATCACTCCTCTACCGTACCGACCGAGTTCAAGTAGTCCGTCCAGCTCGGGACCCCATCTCCTTCCCAGCGATCAGCATTTGGCCCCAACAGAAACGCCAAACGGGCTGGTTTGCTTACTTCCTTTCCCAGGGGTCTAGTGAGAGCTTGCTACTCCCTAATATGTATCAACCCCTAGTAACACATGGACTGACTTTCAACTTCCGTGAATACGCTTCTGAGAAACGAGCTCCAGTTTTAGTTAAGAAGCCCACAGGGCATTCCGAATGAAAACAGCAAGAGGAAAAAGAGATGGTCACGCAAACGGCGACATTCTCATGCCAACTACATAAATTATCAAGTGCGATCTTACTTAGGCTAATTTGTCCAAATAACCATCATTAACGCATATGATTAGATGGAACAGTGGCAGTCTCTGTGAATTGCTCTACGCACAAATTCGTCTCACTACTTTCCCTCTAAAATGTCGAAATGTAGCAAAATTCAATGAAGTCTTACGAAACAGTGCAATTGAGGTAAAGAAAAGGCCAGAAGAACTACTTTTACTCTCCATTTTCGAATAGCCCACTGTTTCTCTAACTAATATCTTGCTTCCTCTACTTGAAAACACAGCGGAGGTTGTTGGCAGATTTGTCGAAGAAGTCTGTCCGTTGCAGAGCAGCATGTAGTGTCCACTCGTAGTGTGCGCACAGTAGAATACACTTCTAACATTGATGTTACTACATGGGATCACTGTTGACAAGGGATTAGCTGGCACCATGCGGGTCCAGGAGAAACATAACAATAACTGATGGATCTTGTGGTCAAGCTTGCTTTCGTATAGGGAGTTTTTAAACTCTTCGAAAGGAGTTGAATCACCAGACACATTCACATGAGCTCATCTAACACCCAGCACTTCACTCCATTAGTCTTCGTATACCCATTAAGATTCTATGAATCCCCACTCCATCAAGGTTATGGGGACCGAAACAGACATCTGACGCCGTGTGAGCCAGCAGAAACATTGCTTAGCCGCTATAAAATATTGATCATGCTCGATCTCAGCTGAGCTTGCTCAACTTTCCATGAGTCTTGACGCGAAAGCGGATCGTAACAGTGAAGAAGCAGAATCGGGTAAATGTATAAACGTACTTTGTAGTTGAGATAGGTGTCATTGGACAGCAGACGAACGGATCGCTTATATTTAGGCGGCATTCTCGACTTGGAACAACAAGCGATCTGAGAGAAATTAGGCGGTGCCAAACTATGATGGGAGAAAGCTTGGTCGATGGTGATGGGTGGAGCCAACAGGGCTTGACAGACAAAGAATTTAAGATGGAGCTGGATAAGAAGCCTTCAAAAGACACGCGAGACAAGCTCAACTTCCATTTTGCGACGCTGAAGTGCATGAATCTAGAAGAGATTTTTCGCCAAAAGAGAAGAGGTAAGACCAAATTTTCCTTATAACTTAAAATTGAAGAATACTCTGGAATGTGTTTAAAACAACTCAAGGCGTAGAGTTATCGAATACTGCAACAAAGTTCAAAACATCCAAAGTCCTAAAACCCTCAAGACCCTAAAAACCACAATTCACCAAAACGCCAACAACCTAGCGAATAAACGAGGTAGAAACGGCGCAAAACTTACCATTTTTCGCTTTCTCTCTATGCTTAGCAGCGAAAAAAACGGAAACCGGAATCGGCGATTTTTGGGACCCTACAAACAACCTGAGCATAGCTCTTATGAAGTTCTCGATTTTACAACCCCGCGTAGAAAGTTATCATTATTTGCTATTGTGCTTCCAAAAACTTTTTTCGGCTGAATGGCTCACACATCTTGAACCAGTGCAAGGAATGCATCAAGTTCCTCTACAAATGCGAGCCGTAACCCATCAGCTTTGGGATGGAAATCATATTCAAATGATTCATTGGGTGATCTTAGAAGTTTTCATTGAGAAATTTATAGTTATAATCAATGTCGTTGAGGGATTACATGGAATCCCCAGTTTGATGGAATCATGAGGGCAAAGTGGTGAAATTTCAGAAATTTTAGCTACTCATAACCCTGTCAGAAACGCCCTCTCTTTTCCGAGTAGACGCGCCAGCGATCACAATGCCTAAAATGCGGTGCGATTTTGATGACGTACTTTACAAGATGCGAAAACTTGACATAATCTTCGGGTGCTGCTATTCAAAAATCATCAGTCATTTGCATGCGATTAGCAAGGTGAACAGTAATGTAAAGTTGGTCAAAGCGACATACCTAGCGCAGCAAGCTAATATTTGCAACAATCGAGCTATTTCGCTGCTCTTTCGGGAGGAAAGACAGGCTTAAGCGTTGCGTCAGACCAATGTGAAAATCCTTACTAATTCTCCCCTCCACTATCTGACACAGCCAGACGAAAGACTGACAGTGCAAGGACGGCAAAGGAGGTTGGATTCTAAGGTAGGGTTGGTTGCGATGGTTTGATGTTGAAACTATGTAGAAAGGCCAAATGGTGCGGCAGTAAGAGCAAATATGAATGAACCGTCGAACACCCAAAAACTGGGTCTGAATTTGTACGAATTTATGGCATAGATGCCGGTTGTCTGGATGAGTGCGCTCGAAAGAATAAAAGGGCGACAAGACCACGAGATACGGCCGTTTGACACGAGATGTACGTGGAATGATAATGAAGTTCTAACAATAACGACATCGTAAACTTCAATGACCACGCCAAAGGCAAAGCGGTTTTTTGAAGGGTAAGGAGTGGGGCGTTTCAAGATACCAAGCCCAAATGTGTGCTATCAGCGGAAAAACCACACCTCACTCATGGCCTGGCCAGCACTCCCGCCAGCGTATATACGTACTTCTTTGGGGCGCACCCATCTATCGTAATTACTCCCATAAAGTTCTTGCTCTCCTCCATTTCTCACAGACAAGTTCTAATGATGGCATAGCTCTAGCGATTAGAAAATTTTCCGGTAGAGTCAGACCTACAGAGCGTGCGAGCATGAATCGATCCCTTTAACCCTTTGACGACAATGCGGATTTGCATGTATGTAGCTTGCTCGTGGGACCACGCCTGTATTTGGCGCGCCCAACTCTCGCTCACAAGTAGGCAAAATTGTCTTTAAAGCGGTTTTTCTGTAGAATTTTCGACTTTAACAGCACACCAAATATAAATGCAGTTCTAGGCTTTCATACTGTGGATTTTTTCAAGAGAATTCCAAAACTGGACGTGGAATTCGCGTTTTTAAGGGAAGGAGGGCTAAACCTCTAAAAATTCAAGTGTCCACGAGAATTT